CCAGTTGTGAAGGTGACCGAGTGGTCATATGCGCCAGGTTTAAATTCTGCTTTCCCAGCAGGATACGGTCCTGCGTGTGTAGACACGGTTTCAAGTCCCAGCCCTGGCAGGGATTCTTCCTCCCCTCTAACCTCAACCACTTTCTCAGTCTTTTCTTTGTTTTCGTTCTTCTCTCTACCTTTTCCTTTTCGACCCTAACGACTGACGCTCAGTGAGGTCTGTCTCCTTTCTTTTGATTGCTACTTAATCACGGATCACGTTCTCCTCTGTGTTCTGGTTTATTCATTGAACGCTCGTTTACCGAAAGTTCATTGTACTTGGGGTGTCCTGGGAGAAAAATTATTCTGGTGGAAACAGAACGGACACAGACTCAGTGATTTACAGTGTGGTCCTTGCGGTTACCGGGCAGATAGGCTGCAGTCTCCTGTTTCCTCACTGCCCGAGCCCCTCAAAGATCAAAGTGCTGGCATTGTAAGCCGTATGACTCGTTCTAAAGTAAGAAAAGGGAAAGGTTCCACCGAGATTTGAACTCGGATCGCTGGATTCAGAGTCCAGAGTGCTAACCATTACACCATGGAACCGACTTTGGTGGAGGTATCCTTCACTGCAGTATTTCCCCTTATTCCCCTACTATCTCTTTTCTGCTTTTTTAAAAGCAAAAGATATATAAATGGATGGAAAATGAATGTGGGAAGTGGTTATCACTGATTGCTTTCACTGAGCCTCCTTCCCAGGTTTCTTTCCTAGATGTCAGGGACAGGGCACGGTCCTGATCCGAGAATATCGTTACCCCTGGCGATTTTGATTTTGCCTTCATTTCCGACCCACGCAAGGGCAACTTGGATTTTAATCTCACTGTTCAGAAGGGAGATTTTGCCAAAATAAAAATATAACATCTTTCTACAGTTTCACTTACTCATTCAAGGATACCTGAAGACGCCTCTAGAGCAATTGTGGCGTTTCTTGGTACTTTCCGCTCAGCTGTAATGGTGGGCTTGAAATTTTTAAATCTGTCGTCCCATTCCAAAATGCCTTAAATGCAGGACCAGATCTCATTCCTCTTTGACACCTGAAGGTCTGAAACGTAGTAGAAGCTTAATCAATGCTTATTGCCTGAACGCATAAATGAAAGGATTATTGAACGAATGACTGAGTTAATAAATAAATACTCCGTGGGAGAGGCCACTTCATTGTTAAATCTGACAATTCTAAAGGGATAACTTACATCTTTTTTTTTTTTTTCCCCAGGTCGCAGCTCCCCAGGTAGACATTTCAGGGTAAATAATAACATAAACGTAGACGCTTTAAAATGGAGGCGGAGCTGCCATGCTAGAGGAACTGCCTTGCTCGTCTTGAGTCTCAAACTTTTGGAATGTTAAAAAGGGCAAAATAACCTCTGCATTGGGCCTGTGCAACCTTGTGTCTCCAAAAAAAAAAAAAAAAAATTGTTTGCAAAGATAACAAGAAGCAGGTATTATGATTACCAGGCCGATGGCTACTAGATTGAAAATTAAACACATTTCTTAGAATTAACATCACCATGTTATCTGCACCAATAGAAATATCTTCCTTCTATCGATGTAATTGTTCCTCTTTCCATTGCCTTTGTCTCTTAATTTGAACACTATGTGGGCTTCTGCCTTAATCAGTGCATCCTGAATAACCATTCTTATTGATCATGAAAAATACTTGTTCCCTCTCACTTTGAAATGTCTTTTATTTTTTAGGTTAGCACCGGTGTTCACATGGCCCCATAAATAGGTGTCCTCGGATATGGGTGACGAAGAGAGGATATCACAGTCATTTATTTTTATAAATAGTCATTTATTTTTATAAATCTTAACTTTAAGATAACATAAATATTTACCTAGTTACTGTAAGAATAACAAGTAAAAAGAGATCATAGCAGGAAGAATTACTCAGATATTAGTTACTACTTTAGTCACTCTAAATATTAATTATTGGCCATCTATTGTTAATGCATGTAGTCTCCCAAGCCTGTATGACTAAGGAATCCCTGCATTATTTTCTGGCATTCGTCTTTTTGTTATATCTCCAGCCAAGCAAGATGCCTATCACAAAATAGCTGCTCAATAAATATGAGTTGAAGCGAATATATCTTTTGAGAAGTAGGGAGGAAACAGTGAAATTCAAAGACTTTGGGCCAGCAAAGCCATCCTGAGAAAAAGGAACGAGGCTGAAGGCATCACTCTGCCTGACTTCAAATTATACTGCAAAGTGACAGTAATCAAAATGGCATGGTATTGGCAGAAAAATAGACACATGGACCAGTCGAACAGAATCGAGAGTCCAGAAATAAACCCATATTTATATGGGCAAATAATTTTTGACAAAAAAGCCAATAATGTACAGTGGAGAAAGGAAAGCCTCTTCAATAAATGGTGCTTGGAAAACTGGAAAGTCACCTGCAAAAGAATGAAACTAGACTGTTGTCTATCACCATATACCAAAATTAACTCAAAATAGATTAAGGACCTGAATATAAGATCTGAAACAATGAAATGCATAGAAGAAAAGATAAGCACTAAACTCAAGGACCTTAAACTCAAGGACCTTGGACTTAAAAAGGATTTTATGAATTTGACTTCAAAAGCAAGGGAAGTAAAAGCTAATATAAATGAATGGGACTACATCAAAGTAAAAAGCTTCTGCTCAGTCAAAGAAATCATCAACAAGGTAAAGAGACAACCGTCCGAATGGGAAAATATATTTGCAAGCAATGTGATAAGGGCCTAATATCCAAAATATACAAAGAACTCATACAATTCAATAACAACAATGACAAAAAAAACAATCCAATCAAAAAAATGGGCAGAGGACCTGAATAGACACTTCTCCCTAGAGGGCATACAAATGGCCAACAAATATATGAAAAGATGCTCAAAATCGCTAGCTATTAGGAAAATGCAAATCGAAACCACAATGAGATACCATCTCACATCTGTTAGAATAGCTATAATCAATAGGACGAATAATAACAAATTTGGAGAGGATGTGGGAAAAAAGGAACCCTCATACACTGCTGATGGGACTGCAAATTGGTACAGCCACTATGGAAAGCAGTATGGAGTTTCCTCAAAAAACTAAGAATTGATCTACCATATGTTCCAGCAATCTCTCTACTGGGTATATACCCCAGAGACTTGAAAACCCTATCCAAAAAGATATGGTTTGCACACCGATGTTCATAGCAGCATTATTCACAGTGGCCAGGACATGGAAGCACCGAAGTGTCCTACAATAGATAATTGGCTAAAGAAGCTGTGGTACATATATACAATGGAATATTACTCAGCCATAAGAAGAGATGAAATACTGCCATTTGTGACAACAAGGATGGACCTCGAGATAATCATGCTAAGCGAAATAAGCCAGACAGAAAAAGTTGAAAATCACAAATCACTTATATGTGGAATATAAACCTAAAAGCAACAAGTGAACAGAACAAACAGACTCATGGACATGAAATATAGACTTGTGGTTAACTGAAGACTATAGAGTAGTGGTTACTAGTGGGGTTGGGGAAGAAGGGGGAGGTAGACAGGGTAAAGGGGGTCAAAGATAGGGGAGTAGAGGAAGGGTGAAGTGGGTAAAGGGGATCAAATATGTGGTAGCTGAAGGAAACTGGACTTTGTATGGTAAACACAGAATAGAATATACAGATGCAAATAATAATGTAGAACTGAAAATTATATAATTGTATAAACCAGTGTTACCCCAATAAACTTAATTTAAAAAAAAAAGACTTTTGGGCCAGGTGACTATAAAGTTCTAAGTGTCTGTCCCTTCCCTCCACACAGATAAACTCTTCATTCTACCTTCACAAATCTCCTAGCCTTAAAAGATTATCTAAGCTATTGCAAATACAGCTGAATAATGGACTGAGTCTTTTTTCTCCAGCACAGGTGGCATACTTCTTATTCCATGAGCCACAACCTTATTTCTTAAAGAAAAAGAAAAATGTCCAATGGTTTAAAATACCAGAATCTCAAAAATCCACTGTTCAAATACTGGCTTTAAACTTCTCTCTGAGGATAGGCAAAGGGAAACTGTTTTTTCAACCTTTGTACATTACCCACCCCCCCCCACCCCCCAAGAAAGGAGAGTGGGTAAAGATCTGGAAAATAGGGCAGATAGCTATGGGTTGATTTGTTCTTCAGTCTGGAGTTCATTCACCTCTTCATTGGAATTGCCTATGGTTGATTCAGCGATGTTGCAAGGTGAATGCAAACAAATCAACCCCACTGAGAGGAATGAGTAGGGGAAGAGACGACTGGGCTCCATAACACAGAAACAATCTATTCTCTGGTAATCTGAGCACCGGTGGTTAGCAGTTACCTGGTAGCAGGGCTGAATCCAGAAAGAGCAATTCAGTGCAGCATAATTAGCAGTCCAGGAACAAATTTCGTTGGAGTGTCCTATAGAAAGGGGACTTCAGAACACATGACCCTACCTAAAACTGAAAATCTCAGTGTATTGCTGGCTCCTCAGCTCTATATAACTTGCTCACTTCACAAATTGAAAAGATATTCTTTCATGTACTTATTCATTGAAACTGACCACAAATATTTATTTAGGTTTCATGAGGTGGGGAAGCAAGAGAAATAGGGCTCTGTATCTGACAAGGCTTATGATGCATGACAATCCCTCAAAAATTTCCAAAATTATGGTAAATGCTAAGTGATGGAATGAATGATAACAGAGCATACCCAATGTATACCAACAGGAATACCTAATTAAGGGCTGGTAGCAATAGGAAAGCCTGCCAGAGGAAAGGATGGCTGAGCTGAGGACTACTGCAAGCTCCCCAGCTCATTGCATTTCTCCTTTGCTGTATTTGTCAGATTTAGATTTTTAAAGATTCATTTACGAATTGGTGAATTCACTCATTTTAACAACTCAGATTGAAGTATCTAAAGTAAAACTTATAATCTCCCCCTTTTCTCTCATCTGACACTATCATCACTGGGGGCAATTTGAAATGTGTCCTATACATTGTACTATTGTACCATTCGGTTACATCCTTTAATCTGATAACAATGTATCTAAGATGCTATTCGTAGTTCAATTTCATTCTTTGCAGTAGAAGTTATAATATCTTGGGGCCATTATGCTTGTCTTCTCCACTAGGCACCAGGGCTGGTGCCCTTTATCTTGTTCCTCTCCATATCCTCATTGCCTGATTGTAATTCTAGAGGGAGAGATCAAGAGAGGCTTTCAGGAGAAAGCAACTTCAGAGCTGAGACCTAAAGGATCAGAAGCAGTGAAGTCGAAACGCTTGGAGCAGACCCAGGGAACCTAAGCGAAAACTCAGAGACGCGCGCGCAGAGGAGCAAGAGGGCCTCTAGTTGGTGAGATGTGAAGGGCAGCTGAGTAGAATCGCTGCAGCTCAGATCAGCATAATTAGGGTTAATAAATGTGAAAGGAGAATGCCGTGGGAATGCTGAGAACGGCGATGGGGCAGGACTCAGATTCAAGAAGATTCAGGGAGATGGACAACTATTCGTGTGTCATTTACTGAATACTGTAATAAATAAGTACTGCTGTTATCAACGGGTCCTAAGTAAGCATCTAGAACATAGTAGGCGCCGAATCAATATATATTGGATACTCCTAGGTAGTGAAAACACAATAGTAAAGGGAATGCGGCACACAAGCACGTGCTCAGTAACTTTTCGGTAATTGAAACAACTAATAGAATATCTCGCGTCGGTGATTGGTTTTGGAGAAGGTGCAGCCGCCGGAGGGAAGAAGCGGTAGGAATTGAGAAGCCTACCTAAAGTCGGATACCGCGGAGGAAAGGTGATGGGGATTAGCACCTAGGAAGACTCGAGTATTAAGTCAGGTGTTCTAGTCCGCTCCGCCACTATACCTTGTTGATGAACTTGTGCGCCGCCAAAGCTGAACGTCGCTCCTTTACCATTTTTTTTTCTCTCTTCCTCTTCACCTTCGCTCCTCGTCTTGTATGCCCACCCTTCCTCCAGCATTCTCCTTCCCTCACTCCCAGCTCAGCCCAAGAATCCTCTGACCCTCCCGACCACCGTCAATTCTCTTTCTCACACCTCCCACGTTGACTCTCTGCAGACCGAGAGTTCCAGAAGATGTTGTGGACTCTAGATACGCTTGGACTGCAGGAAGTAAATCTTTGAACTTCAGGAGTGAGCAAGTTCGGGCATTTGGTTTGAACCCAGCGGCTGCTAAGAATCCTGAGGTTCCCTTGCCCACCCTCCATCTATTTCAGGGGACCGAGAGCCTCCACAGAACCTCAGGAGGGAGCAAAAGACTGCAGTCCCTGCTATTTGTCTGGTTTCCCTATGTCCTCAGGTCCTAATCATACTGGAACAGAACTTCCTCAGAGTCCGAGCTCAGTTGCCCTCAAAGCACCTGAAGTCCACAGAAAAGTCCGCGCGGGAAATGGAGTCGAGCTAGTTAGTGGGCCTTTGCCCTGTTCTGCGTGGTTTTGTCATCCAAACTTTGGCTATTTTAGACGAGAATCAAATCAATTCCTCTTTATTTTGAAACAGTTATTTAAATTTTTAAATGAATCTTTCTTATAATGATGTTGATGGGCGCTTAGTAAAAGCTGCTCGACCGCTTGCCTCTTTAGCGCAGTAGGCAGCGCGTCAGTCTCATAATCTGAAGGTCCTGAGTTCGAACCTCAGAAGGGGCATTATGTTTTCCCTTGCTTAAAGAAACTCGACAATAAATGGAGTTAACAAATCTTTGTTATGTCTATTTTTTTTTCCGTCGAAAGTATACACTATGACTTAAGAGAAAAATCTGAGGAAACTGCTTAGGTGTGATTATATGAGTAATTTACCGTTTAAGCCAGATATAGAGATATGGGGTAGGGGGCACTTACAGCGTACATTAATTTTGTTTTGTAATTTTCTTCTTTTTTTTCTTTTCCAGTTTTATTAAAATATAATAGACAATTACTTGCTTTTATTTACATTGTACAATTCAATGAGTTTTTTCAATTGTGGTTGGCATACAATAATATACTAGTTTCAGTTGTACAGCATAGTGATCAGAGATCCACATAACTCGCAAAGTGATCACTCCACTAAATCTGGTACTCTCTTCTCCCTTACATATTTATTACAACATTATTAACCATCTTCCCCATGCTACTCTCTACATCTCCATGTCTATTCTGCGACTATCCATTTGTACCTTTTAATCCCTGTGCCTTTTTGCTGTGCCACCAATCCTCCTCTCATCTAGTAGCCCTCAAAATATTCTTTGTATCTATGAGTTTATTTCCATTTCTTGTTGTTGTTTATTTTGTTCTTTAGATTCCACATGTATGTGAAATCATATGATATTTCTCTATCTCTATCCGACCCATTTCATTCAGCGTAATACCCTCTAGGTCCATCATACAATATCTTTTTCATCCCCTTCCTTTTAATCTGTGTGTCTTTTAATCTGAAGTGAGTCTCTTGTAGGCAGCATATGTAGGGTCTTGTTTTCTTATACATTCAGCCACTCTATCTTTTGGTTGGAGCACTTAATCCTTTTCCATTTGAGGTACTTATTGATAGGAATGTAGTTATTACCATTCTTTATTCAAGTTTTTGATACATACTTTTTCCTCTTAAATAAGTACCTCTAACATTTCCTGTAATGCTGGCTTGGTGGTTATAAATTCCTTTAGCTTATTTTTGTCTGGGAAGCTCTTTCTCTGTCTTTCAACTCTAAATGACAGCTTTGCTGGATAAAGTGTTCTTGGTTGTAGATCCTGTGTTTGAATATTCTGTGCCATGCCCTTCTGTCCTGCATAGTTTCTTTTGAGAAATCAGCTGCTAGTCTTATGGGTGCTCCCTTGGAGGTAACTAACTCTTTTCTCGTGCTGCTTTTAAGCTTCTTTCTTTATCTTTAACCTTTGGCATTTTAATTATGATGTGTCTTTGTGTGGGCCTCTTTGGGTTCCTGATTTTGGGGACTCTGAGCTTCTTGGGGTTTTATGTCTATTTCCTTCACCAAGTTAGGGAAGTTTTCCATCATTATTTCTTTAAATGGCTCTTCAACGTCTTGTTTTCCTTCCAGTACCCCTATGACATGGATATTTTTACATTTTATAGTGTCCCGTAAGCTCCTTAAATTATTATTATCGTCCCAGCTTCTTTTTTCTTGCCATTCTGACTGAGCGTCCTTGGCTTCCCCATCCTCTATATAGAACACTTGATCTTCTTCTTTATTCACTCTGTTTATTCCATTTAATATACTTTTCATCTCCAATAATGTGTTCTTCATTTCTGACTGCCACCTTGTTATAATTTCAATTTCCATTTTTACATTTTTTGGCTCTTTGTTGAAGTTCTCACTGAATTCATCTACACTTCCCCTAAGTTCATTGAGCATCTTTATAACCAGTGTTTTGAACTCTGCATCTGTTAGATTGCTTGACTCCATTATTTCTGGATCTCTGTTCTGTTCTCTCAGATGGTTTCTGCTTCTTTGTCTTCCCAGTTTGGCTGCCTTTCTGTGTCCATTTCTATGTACTAGCAAAGCTCCTAAGTCTCCAGGTCTTATTAGTGAGGCTTTATGAAGTAGGTGTCCACTTCAGAGAGGGGTTCAGCTGTAGGCCAAAGTTAGCCCCAGCCTGTGCCCCTCTGGGGCAACCTGTTAAGACTGAGTAAGCAATCCATAGATGATGTGCTTATAGTTACCTCAAGAGGCCCCACCAAAAACCGAGGTCAGCTGCCACCAGTGTGGGTCTTGGCGCTGCTCAGCAAGGAGCACCTGACTCACAGAGGACACAACTGAATGTGGCTTGGGTGGGGCCCTGAGTTGGGGGAGGCAAGTTTCAGGGACTCCTCTGGGCAAAGTGACCTCTGTTTTCCAGTTTGATCATGTCTCAGTGAGTCCACACACTGGGAGGGAGGAGGGCTCCACTGCCACTTCTGTACAGTGAGTCTCGCCTCTGGCCCTCACTCTGACAACTCAGTGTTCCCCTGTAAGTCCCTGGTGCCCCATAAGTAGCAAACCCAATGCTGCTGCTCAGAGCAAGTAAGGTCCCTCACCACAAAAGTCCACTACTGAACACGGCCCCTTTAAGAGATGTCTGCAGCAGACAGCTGCCACTGCTATGGCCTCTGTCCTGCTCAGCTGCTTGGAACTAGGCGGCCTCGTGTCCTTGCCCCATCCTACCTCCTCCTGTTGCAGGGTGATTTTTTATTTCTGTCCATAGTTGTAGGGCTCATTCATCTAAATCCCTGGTGATTTTCCTCGCTGTTTGTTCCTTATTTCTGTCACAACTTTGATTTGGTTGCAAGAGGGATGAACTGAACCACTATCATCTATGCCATTTTTTTCTCTCCGTCTTGTAATTTTCAACTCTATGCTGCTTTTATCTTGATTTAAGTCTATTAACATTTCCCATTTTATCTATTGTAGTGCAGTTGTGTAGACTACCTCAAATCTGTTTTTAAAAAGAGTGACATGAATAAATACATAATTAGGAATGTACTATGTGACAATAATTGTGTTAAATTCAGTATTTGAAGAAGAAATTCTTTTTGTAGATTTAAGGAAGAAAAGTGGATAAGAGAGTAAATCCTTTGTCTAAGGTGGCACAACAAAAACCATTAAATACAATGTTCTAATTGATCTTCTATTTTTATAGTAACAGTAATAATGATAACACCAAAATTTCATTGAACTGTTAGCATGTAACAGACACTATTCCAAGAATTTACTTGCATTATCTCGTTTAATTTGGAACCTTGGGTCATGAAAGTATACATGTTTGTTTCTCTAAACATTCTTTAATCTGTACTTCATCTCGAGAGCATTTAATCACAATTTAAATATTTTAATATTTATGGTATAATTCATCATTTAATGGCTGACTCTCCCTTCTAAAGGGTAAACTGCCAGGACTGAAGTGGTGGTTTTCCATTGCTGTAAATCCAGGGCAAAGCAGAGCTCCTTGCTCAAAATACATTCTGAAAACCTATTTGTTGAGAGCTCTTTGTGCTAGGCATTCTTAAGGTCTGGGCAAGGGGAGTTTAGAGCACAAATTTTGAAGACCAAAAACAAATGGGCCGGGCAATTCTCTGATTATATACAACTTTTAGAAATAATTGTTTAGGTTACAATATATAAGGATGAGAGTTATTTTTTCACCATGAACTGAGGGCAGAAATAGTCTTGAACTATATTCAATGGGTGCAACGATGGAGTCAGGAATTAGGAAAAGGAACTTGGACAGAATTTAAAAAGACAGACATTTTTGTCCATGTATTTTCTTTACACTAGAATATACAGGAAAGAACTTTATCTTAGATGGTTCCGTTAGTAAAACCCTAGACTCTCAAACCTTGAGGGTTCCAGTCCACTTGAGCAAAACGAAGGGTCAAGTACTTTTGCCCCCACATCAGTGAATGATGCCCATACAAACCAAAGAAAGATAGTGAGGTAAATACATGGGACTTCTAGAGTAAGACGTCCTCAGGTTTTGTGAAGAGAACTATTTATATTTAAGGAGCACCTCAGAGTATGAGACTTTGTGTCAGAAACATAGTCTTTGCCTGTTAATCCCACTTACCTAAAAAAATAAAGCCAGAGTGGAGTTACTACATTCACTGTGTAAAGGATGTGGTTGGCCATTTGTAGAATTTTCTGAATGAAGTAGAAGTAATCTACTCAAGAGTTGGTTGGTAAGTGAGCGGCTGAGGAATCTTTTCTGGATATCCAAATTTAATACATATACCAAGTTTAAAAATTAAATAGAACCAAAAAAATCTCTTCTAACCAATGGTATTGAAACCTTGTTTAGGAAAATAGCATGCTATGATCAGAACTCCGTGTTTCCATCTCTGCCCAAGGGAAATCACATGAGCCAACATAATTTTAAGTCAGTTTGGGTTGGCTTGGCACCAGACCACCACTGCTTGAATCATAGTCATTAATATTTTATTACTCTCATTACCCATATTACAGTTGCACAGAGCAACCATCTAATGTTATTTGCTTTCCAATGTAGAGTTTATTTTATATAAAAGAGAATATGCCAATCGACCACCGCTATGGCTATAGTATATCCACATCCACACTCTGGCTTGGGACGCCTCAGACATTTGGTTATTGTGAGTCAGTCCTAC